ATTGTGGCGATGACTTGATGATTAATGAGATTAGGTATGAAATCGACATTCATCAGGGCAGGAAGCATCGACGATCGTCCCCACTGCAATCGGCGGTGCGAGTCAGAAAGAGTTAGTAGCATGGGCATGTGTGTCTGTCCGTTGATCTAAATCGGAGCACGTTACCTGATATATATACCACACACATACACACGCATATATATGTTTATATGAGATATATATATATATTTTTTTTTTTAAATATTCCTTTTATGTCAACATGTGTCTCTATATATGTGTCTACGTATATGCTCATATACGTATAAACACGCTGTAATAATATATGTATATGATCCACGCCGAGCTTCTGCACGCTTTTACGATGGCTGCCTACAATGGATATCGACTGTCCAAATTGAATGGATGTTGAGCCTTTGCATGTATCTCTTACCTACATAACGTATATATATTACATATGTATATTTGTAATGAGCGGATAAAAAGAAAGGATGTCATTTTGCAGTAAATTCAGAATTAATTATGTTTACATCTGTCGATTTATTATATATTTATGTATAGTTATTCTGTTTAAAAATTGAAATTCACCGCAAGTCCTTCTTCCCCTCGGGGAATAAGGTCGATTGTTTTAAACGTGAGTCTGAAGAGTTTTGCAAAAAAGCGCCGAGCGATTTAATAATGAAGAAGATACAATGGAAGCATCGGCTCTTCTCAATTTCTCGAATATTTCGAGATAAAAGCCCTGCGGGACTCACCTGTTTTCGGAACTACCTGTTTTTTTAATTAAATTCTCGTATAAAGCAGAGTCATATTTATTCATTCGGCTTCGCGTGCACGTGCGAATAGATGAATATGAAACGTCCGCAAAAAGTGTCTTCCAAATAGCCTGCTGTCTATCCGTAAGTGCCGAGAGAATTAATTCGATGGCGAAAGATCGAAACACATCTCGTGGATTTATATCGAGTCGTATATATCGTAAAAAAAGAAATCAATTTTTATTTCCGTCGTAAACGTCGATGATTAAAATGAAAAGTATCGAGAAACACAGCGAAAACGATTGATGATTATTTCCTCTTATTACAGTCACCGTCGAAATGAAGTAACTTACATTCTCTACGGTGAGATGGATTATATCTGTCATAAGTAATAAATGTGAACGTCTACTGGGAACGTAAATGCGGATTTAACCAGAGAGGATGTGTATAAAATACGCCGTACGTCGCCGAATCAGAATCGAGGCGGGACAGTAAAATTTTATCGCTTCGCGGGCACGGTGATGAACGCGCGGCCTCGGTTTCGAGAGCCGTAACCACGCGTTTGTGGCCGATCATCCGGCTACCTCGTCGGTTCGAATCGAGGCTACGATCTCCTGTCGAACGATACGACGAATTATCCCCGCCGGATAAATCGTAATTTCGACCCGTTTATCTGCGATGCTGTTTAAGTACATGAGTTCGGTCTCCACGCGAATCTCTCGAAACCTGCACCGAGTCACGAATCCGGATATTCCGCTTTTTATCGCCCGTCCGTTTTATTCGCGAGATTGCACGAGAGGAAGAAATACGGCGGAGATACGCAAGAACTGTTCAATCTCCATGATTTCGGTATATTCGTACGGTTTAAAAATGGAAATACGGGGGTTCATGGGGGTTGGCAAATTTTTTTTTCGCCGACGCGGTGCGAACAGATGTTCCGGCGGATATCCGGCCCGGTTCTGTTAGCTTTATTGGATTAACCCTCGCAGGCTCTTGGATACCGGCCAGCTGGCAAACTTCGGTAATGTTTTCGCTCGACGGTATTGTCCCGTGGTAATCGAATTACGTACGCCGCAAAATTAGAAATTTACGCTTCCAGAATGAATTCTTTCGCGCTCGAATCCATTCCACGCGCGAGTCGTAGGCATTTCAACCTGATGGACGGCACCCTAATTGCATTCTTCTCCCATCTCTAGTGATCAGCGCTCAGGGATTGATCGCCAAAGATAAGAGCGGCACATCCGACCCCTACGTGACGGTCCAAGTTGGCAAAGTAAAGAAACGCACGAGGACCATGCCGCGGGAGCTAAATCCAGTATGGCACGAGAAGTTCTACTTGTAAGTAATTTTGGCAAGTTTCTCCACTACGCCGGCGGAATGCATAATTCTCTCCGCTCTCAATCTCGCTCACCGTGAATTCCCCGTCCGTTTCCATTGAGCGATGACGTCAATTGTTACGTTTGCTCGCAGACGTTTACATTTATGTTTACTTGTCCACTTATCCACTTTCGAAATACGTTAACGTTACTTTGGACAAATTATCACGATTATTCAGAGTACTACTAGAAGAAATTCCATCCGGTCTCAGAAGGGGCGTTACATGTTGTAAAAACTAGAAATTCCTATTCGTAGCGAGTGCCACAATTCGTCCGATCGGATCAAGGTTCGAGTGTGGGACGAGGACAACGATCTGAAGTCGAAGTTGAGGCAAAAACTGACGAGGGAGAGCGACGACTTTCTCGGGCAGACCATCATCGAGGTCCGAACTCTCAGCGGCGAGATGGACGTCTGGTACAATCTGGAAAAGAGGACGGACAAGAGCGCGGTGTCGGGCGCTATTCGACTGCACATCAGCGTTGAGATTAAGGGCGAGGAGAAGGTGGCACCTTACCACGTGCAGTACACCTGTCTGCACGAGAATCTGTTCCACAGTCTATGCGAGGAGAACGGCGGCATGGTGACGTTACCTCAGGCGAAGGGCGACGATGCCTGGAAGGTCTACTTTGATCCTCCTGGCGAGGAGCTCGTTGACGAGTTCGCCATGCGTTACGGCATTGAGAGCATCTACCAGGCGATGACGTGAGTGCCGTCGAAGTCACACACATTGGCAACTGCTGATTTTATTACATCATAATAACTTTAATTTATTACGCTAATTTTATTTTATATTCGATATTAATTTTATATTCGAAACGATTTTTGAAAATTGAAAGCGAGAGACGAAAGGTGTCATTAAAAATCATAAAACGTATATTTGATATTAAGATAAGCGGTAACTGCTCTCAGGTATAGTAAAAGATAGAAGGAGAGGGACGTATTCGTCGATACGATCGTGATTTCATGTTTTCCAGGCACTTCCACTGCCTCTCAACCAAGTACCTGTGTCCAGGCGTGCCGGCCGTTATGTCGACCCTCCTGGCGAACATAAATGCGTACTACGCCCATACGACCGCTAGTCCGGCCGTGTCGGCCAGTGATAGATTCGCCGCCAGTAACTTCGGGGTAAGTGCCGGATGTTGAAGGTTGCGCCGTGGCATCTCCATCGCGTAATAGAAGATCGGGAGGGATCGCGAGGGGTGGCGAGGAGCAAGAAGTACGCGTGCAATTTCCTGCGCGACCAGCGCTATCCGTTATCCCGAGCTGCTTCTCATATCCTAGGACGGTCGTTTGCGAAGGTCCTTGCGCAAGGACCACCACTTTTCGCCCTATCAATTTCATTCTCACCAGGTCACCAGGAATAAAGGGATCAGCTGACGCGAATATAGCTCTCTAGTTAAATAATTACTTTGCAAACTTTCGAGAGGGATCAAGCGAAGTCTCCGCCGGCATCGAGGCGCTTTGAATAAAGCCTGAATCTTTGGTGAATTGGTCATTTAACGGATTAGAATGGATTTCTTCCGGGAATCGCTAACTTGACTTTTCGTCACATAGACCGCCGGGAACGATGAAGCTTAAGCGACAAAGTTTTACGCTTGTGTTTGGTCCAGAAATCCCGTTAAGTCACGAATCCATGTCGAATCGAAGAAGCGGCAAAGTTGCGTTGTGTTTATAATTGCATTTCTTAATTCCTTGGTGTATAATTCCTTGCTGTCCTTCTTTTTAAGGACAGAAGAAAAATGAGAGGAAGGCTGTATGCACGCTAATTAATTAAGATTTTAATTAAGATTCTCTTCGAATACTTTTTCACCAATCACAGTTTAGTTGACTGGCAGTCAAGACCGATGGTCAAATGGATTTTCCTGCCGCGCAAGGAATATGGAAATCCTTTGCGCATACCTCCACATGAATCGACGTTCTTACAGCTCCCATAAAACAGCGAACGATATGTGAACCGAAATTTCCTACGAAATTTAAATTCGTAAATCTCTTAATTCCGAAAGAGAACTGGTATATATGAGAGAGTATATTTCTGGTATTCTTGAATTATGCATGATTTCCCTTCGAAAATATTACGCGGAACTTTCCAGGAACCAAAACATTCGCCGCGGATGAAAATCTTTGAGAAACCGACAGACGATCGAGGGAAAAAACGAAACAATCCCATATAAATGAAATATAAATATTGCATCAGTAAAAAACAAAATAAAAAATATTTATTTCTACATGTAGCATGTTTACGAAAAAGGGAAACCTTATATTGCAGGCGATACCGTTACCGATGAAAGAAGTTAAAAAAAAAAAACGTTTCTCATTGTAGAAAGAAAAATTCGTCAAGTTACTGGATCAGCTGCACAACTCCCTCAGGATCGACCTGTCGATGTACAGAAACAACTTCCCGGCTTCGAGTCAGGAGAAGCTGATGGATTTGAAGAGCACCGTGGACCTGCTGACGAGCATCACGTTCTTCCGTATGAAGGTCCAAGAGCTGTCGAGCCCGCCGCGAGCCAGCACCGTAGTAAAGGATTGCGTGAAGGCGTGCCTGCGATCGACGTACCAGTTCCTCTTCGAAAACTGTTACGACCTGTACAATCGGGAATTCCAAGCGGACCCGAACGAGGCGAAGAGGGACACGGACGATCACGGGCCGCGACTGGACTCGCTCGACTTCTGGCACAAGCTGATCGCCCTGATAGTCTCGGTGATCGAGGAGGACAAGAACAGCTATGCGCCCGTGTTGAATCAATTCCCTCAGGAGCTCAACATCGGTCAACTGTCGGCGGCCACGATGTGGTCTTTGTTCGCGGTGGACATGAAGTACGCCCTGGAGGAGCACGAGCAGCATAGACTGTGCAAGTCCTCGGCCTATATGAATCTGCACTTTAAAGTCAAGTGGCTGCACGCCAACTACGTCAAGGACGTGCCGCCGTACAAGGGCGCCGTGCCGGAATACCCGGCCTGGTTCGAACCCTTCGTCATGCAATGGCTCAATGAGAACGACGACGTCTCATTAGAGTATCTCCACGGTGCCTTTAGTAGAGATAAAAAGGAAGGCGTAAGTGCCATGATTTTATCTACTCGATGTGTTTTCCGACACAGCAATTCTCTTTAACGATTCTTCAACCTTGCCTTTACAGTTCCAGAAGAGCAGCGAGCACGTGCTCTTCAGCGTCTCCGTCGTCGATGTTTTCACACAGCTGACGCAATGTTTCGACGTGGTGTCGAAGCTCGAATGCCCGGACCCGGAGATCTGGAAGAGATACATGAAGAGATTCGCGAAGACCATCGTCAAAGTCCTGGTGGCTTATGCGGATATAGTGAAGAAGGAATTCCCCAGCCATTTGAAGGAAGAACGAATTGTACGTACTTAGGAGCAAGAAAATTTGCAGAAATCCAGGCAAAGTTAGTACGACAGATCTTAATACAAATTGTTTTATTCCGTAGGCGTGCATTCTGATGAATAATATCCAACAACTTCGGGTGCAATTAGAAAAGATGTTCGAGTCGATGGGTGGCGACAAACTCGAGGAAGACGCGGCGAACATATTGAAGGAATTGCAGCAACAATTGAACGGCGCTCTGGATGATTTGGCTATACTATTCGCGAACAGTTTAGAACCGCGAATAACGGTTTCGGTTAGGGAATTAGGGGATCTTTTGTTGGCTATCAAAGGCGGAGGACAGGTGACCTTGTCGCAGCCAGCGCAAAGAAATAACGTAACCGCGGAGGCCGATGATGTTCTAAGGCCACTTATGGTTTTGCTCGATGGTAGCCTGTCTCTGTACGCTGAGTCGTGTGAGAAGACGGTATTGAAGAGACTGCTGAAAGAACTGTGGAAGATAGTGATGAGAATTTTAGAAAAGACCGTTGTTTTGCCACCAATGACGGATAAGAGCGTATGTGTCATAATTATTAAATCTGCTGGAAAAAAATTAATAACATATATTACTAGAATATAAGAATGTATTATATAGAATATATAGAATATAATATATTATAAAATGTATTACGATTTATGATTCTTGTTTCTCGTAGATGATGTTCAAGAATTTGACGGATAACGCTAAGAATCTCGCTGCGAATGCCAAGATAGAAGATATGTCGAAGCTATTTAAGAATCACATGGCTGGGAAACCCGACGTCAAAAATGCTCTCAGTGGTGTTATGGTAATGGAAATAAATCGTTAAATTTTTAATTTTCATATTATTTAAATTAATTCGTGTAAATTCCTATAAGATAATCGCTTCAAGACTGTTGTGTTAAATATTCTTCCCATTCCAGGATATCTCCAAGGAAGTGGAGAAGAATCTTTCGCCGAAGCAGTGCGCAGTTCTCGACGTCGCTTTGGACACGATCAAGCAGTACTTCCATGCCGGCGGTAACGGCTTGAAGAAGACGTTCCTGGAGAAATCACCGGAACTGCAGAGCCTCCGTTACGCGTTGAGCTTGTACACGCAAACGACGGACACCCTCATCAAGACCTTTGTCACTTCGCAAGTCAACCAAGGTACGTTGCTCCAAGTTCGCCATTCACATTACAAATTGATGAATCGTAATAACTATTATTTTTATATGTGTCTCTTACCACGTAATTGCGAAAAGTAATCGCGATAAATACAAAACTAATCAGGAATACACAAGTTAATTAAACACAAGCGATATATTCTAACGACACATTACACATTTCCATCGCGCAATTATCGCGCGAGGAGTTGGTATATATCGACGTGGTGCGTGATTTACACTCACATTACGACGTAATGAAAATTGTCGGGACAGTGCCGCTGAACGATGCGTCAACGCTACGTCAGCGTCAGCGTTCGATGAGCAGCGAGAGAGGTGACGAAGGGGAAGGAGCCGAGGGTATGGAAAGCCTCGAGGAACCCCTTCGCCAGAGCAAGCCCTCTCTTCGTCGAGAGAGCCGACAAGGTATCACAAGAGCCGATCTTAGAGGATCGCTGGAAGTGTCGGAGAGATTCTTAGGCCGTAGTGAACTGATCGTTGCGTCGAGACGTCTTTCGACACGATTTATCTGCTTTTTCATTTTTTTCACGATTATTTTTAAAATATCCATTTGATAAATAGGAATTCGAGTGTCGAATCATGTTAATTCTTTATTTTCATAAAGAAGAAAAATGTTTCAAAGACGTCTCTCGGCAACGATAGCTGTGTTAGGAAGCTGTGCTGTTATCACTGCCGCTGTGCTGCTACTGCCGCCACTCTTGCTGCTACTACTACTGAGAACTTTACCGACCAGCAAAATGCCTCTTTCGATCTCATGTTTTCTCAACACAACGCTTCTGACACGTACACACCACACACACCCCACACACACACACACACACATACGCGCGCGCGCGCGCGCATACGAAAAAATATTGTCATTTGACCACTAAATCACCAAAACACTTGTTACAAACATGATATCGTCACTCGACTCGTCATTGTCTAACGTCACATTGTTCCTACGAAAATTTGAAGGAACAAACACCCAAAGAAAGGATTCATGGATTGATCGATCGATCACCTGCACCAAGGACACTTGTATCATACGCACGGAGCCTTCGAAGATTGAAATTCTCTGAAAAAAATCATTTGTTTTTTCACGATGCAGAACCGACGAAATCTAAAAATTTATAATTTTCGACACACACTGTATAAGACTAAATCATAAAAACTTCACAGAGGCTGACTTCGTCTTCTCTGATAATTACGCTAACAAATACCTGACCTGCCCATTATCAGAGCATGTAATTTGCTCTAGAAATAGAAATTAAGAATAGACTCTTAGCCTTAGTCTCAGATCATAGCATCAGATAGAATCAGACGAAGTCCGCGTAGTGTCTAGACGTCATTCTATAGCTTGACCAGGTTCGTATTCGGGCATAAGTTCTGACTGCAATCTGCTGAAGTTCCAGATACCACCGGTTCAGATGAGGGTTCAGTGGGCGAGGTGAGCATTCAGGTGGATCTTTTCACGCATCCGGGAACGGGAGAGCAGAAAGTCACCGTCAAAGGTACAATTATAATTTTACAAAATTTGTAAAAACCGATCGTACAATTTTCACAGTCTCTAATACGAGAATTGATATTTTATTTTTTAACTCGTGGATAATTTTATTTAAAAAAATCTTCATTTCTTTTAGTTGTGGCCGCGAACGATTTGAAGTGGCAATTGGCGACGGGCATGTTCAGGCCGTATGTTGAGGTGAATCTAATCGGACCGCATCTTACTGGCAAAAAGAGGAAACAATCGACGAAATCAAAGAGCAATAACTGGTCGCCACAATTCAACGAGAGCTTCGACTTGTAAGTTTCAAAGTTTAATTTAATTTTGACAATTATTAATATTTTTAATTGATAAAAATTTTTTCTAACTTTCACCTCATCTTTGTCTTTAGTATGATCGGTAATGAGCAACAACAGCTAGACTTCTACGAGTTGCATATCTGCGTAAAGGACTACTGCTTCGCGAGGGAGGACAGGCTCGTTGGAGTCGCGGTAATGCAGCTGAAGGACATCGTCGAGGAAGGCTCGTGCGCGTGCTGGCTATCGCTCGGCAAGCGTATTCAGATGGACGAGACTGGTTGGACAATCCTACGTATTCTCTCGCAGCGGAATAACGATGAGATTGCCAAAGAGTTCGTGAAGCTGAAGAGCGACATCAGGCAGGAGACACCGCTGCCAAATCCCACTTGAGGAGATACGACGTTACGTTAATAAGTCGACAGCGAAGCGATTCGAGTACTTCGAGCTTGGAAAGAGCCCGAAGAGGAGAGGAAAGAGGAGGAGAAGGAGAAAGAGGAGGAGAGAGAGAGAGAAGCAGGAGGCCGTACCAAAAAAGGGTTAATATTTGATGCCTTCGGTGCCACAAGCGAACGAAATCTTTTACGATTCCGCGAGAGAGATGCAATTTGCCCGAAAACAATCGCCCCGAATCCTTTCGTCTTTCTTCGCCAAGAGGCGCGATCCAGGGAAGGACGGTCCTAGGAACGGGATTCGATTTATCACGGAGTTTCTTCTCTCCAGCTTCCCTCGCGACGTGGAATTCAGTCGAGCGTAATTCCTCTCCCTTTTTTACGAGACTCACATACACACAGAGCTTCAACCCCGTCCCTGGACAGCGACGATGCACCGGGAACCATCATCTTCCACAGATCTCGAGTTAGGACGAGCTAGGTCAACCCCGCGTGGCTCGGCGTTCGTCCTGCGTACTACTATAATGATGAAAAAAGAGCGATTCCTTCCGCCTGCGAGAGTTAAAACAAACGAGAAAGCGAAACTCGACAGCGACGACAACGAGCGACGCTCCAACCACCACTACGTAAAACGAGAGACACATCGGACTCTTCTTCGAGTGTCGCAGGCGAGACACAGGGGGAGACGGGGATATGAAAGAGAGAGTGTTCGCGTGACGAAAACGCGAAACGTGAAAACAGTGCTGCCAGTACGCAATATATTTGGTAATATTCGTAATGTAAGATAGGACGAGAAAGAGAGAGAGAAGGAGAGAGAGAGAGAGAGAGAGAAGAAAAGAGAGAGAGATTAACACCGCGAAGGACTGAAGTACGGTGCTTCGCAACAAAAGAAACTCTCTTGATCGGAACGCGCCGCCGTTCGCCGAAAGACTGATCTCGAGATCGGAAAACGACGAGAAGCGAGTCCACGTGTGATGGATCCTTGACCGCGACGCGGTCGCATGTGCTAAAACAAAGGGACGAGTCGTGTACGCACGCACATGTACACGGTACCGCATATACAAAATTTACATACGCATACACACTTACATACTGTACGTTAACGACCGCGTCGTTTCTAGGCCGTTTGTTCGGGAGGACGAGTTTACTGTAGATACGTGAAAACATTGTTGAGACGAAGAAGTTTTTTCTAAATATACAGTTTAAATGTAGCATTGCGTACGACCAAATAGGCGCGCCCTGTGACGTCACGCAGCGGCGCGCCGTTAGTTAATAAAAACAAAAAAAGTTAGTAAGGCATTGTAATTGTAAAGTAACGTTCTTACTCGTAAGATTATACCAGAAATGATCGTAAGAGTCTGACTGTTGCTGATGCTGTTGCTGCTGTTGCGAATGATGCCGAGATCCGCCCAAAAGCTTCGTAAGCAACGTACCGAATTCCAGACGGAATTTGCGAATATACAGGGGAATATACAGAACACGCGTTGATTCTATACGCCCGCGCCTCCGGAAATCGCGTATTTAGCGACAGAGACGTACACCCGACGTACACGCTGCGAACGCGGATTCTACGAACCGGCGAACGAGCGAATCTCCAAAATTGAACTTTACCCAGTTGTCTGTCAGTACGCGGTTACCGCGATACTTCGAGTGATTATCCGAGTGATCGATTACTTGAAGAGATTATCTTCAAAATTTCGTGTTAGGTAACGCTCGAATTATCCGAGCAGTCTCCGTGAACTTTGACAATGCTACTTTGTAATCTCGTAGCGTGTGCAGCTAATTATAGCTTTTGATTCTCTTTCCTTAGCGATCGCTGTTTTTTTAACGGCAACGCCTATCTCGAGATACGATGTGAGGCCCTGGGCGTTAAAACTGCTATTATTAGTAAGGATTACCGCTACTACCGTCATTAGCTTTATCGCGTCTTGTACGTCTTGTCTCGTGTGTATAGGACGTTCGCCCGTCTGTAGAAACGCGTCTACCGCGTTTCCTCGAGCTCTCGCATCGGACCGAAAGCGCGAAAGGGTAGATGGGAAAACGATCGGACCCGTCTTCGCTGTATCTACGATCGCACGAAGCTTTGGTCGGATCCCTCCGTGAGAGAAACTTCGAAGGCACGCGACCTCATATCCGATGAAATCCAGTCATCGTCCAGCCCGGGCTGCAGAGTCGGGCGGGGCAGGTATAATACAACTTCGAAGATTACGCTATTATATTCAAAAGTTTCTACTACGTAGTACGTCTAGATTATACTTAAAAATTGTGTATAGTGTCTAAAACTGCTGATGTAGCTGCGAGCGCGGGATTTTCGATCGGCAGATAGAGAAAGAGAGTCGAGAGCCATCTGAAACATGAACGTCCGAACATCTCAGCTGCAGGTGTCTACCAAATTTGATTATATCAAAGCACTATGAAAAATACTACATAATAGTCATCATACTTATCTTAGCAACTGAAAAAATTAATTTTAATCTTACAAAATATTAATTGATATTATAGATTAAACATTTTTATTCATTACATTCGAATAAATTGGTTTAAATATTTTCAAAAAAAAAATGAGGCAGATCAATACATCAAATCTTCACTTATACATATAAGATATCCGAAATTGTATTAAAATTCTGTTAGAAACTTTTCAACTTGAAGGTCGATTCATCAAATATCTACATCTGCACCTGCCGTTGACGGTGACGGAAATTCAAGCAGGTAGGAAAGAAAAACACGGGTCCGCGATCTCGCCACCATTTTCATTTGTAAAAGTGTCTATTTTCTCCGCTGCCTAACACTAAATAACATTACTTAATACGAAAGAGCTGGCGAATTCGGCACTCATGATCGGCCTCGTCGACGGACACACACACCTCGATACTCGTTTATCCCCGATCGCAGATTCACCGCAATCACCGCGATCGTCGACGAGGTCGACCGCCAATTTTTCCTCCTACTCTCCGCTTCGATTAATATCTTGTAAGCTTAATGAAAATATCTCGTGTATTCTGTGATAATTACCCCTTAAAAAGGACACTGACACGCTCTACATCTTACACGCACAAGAAACATATACACGTACACGTACGAAGGGGAGAAATCCGCAGACGGTTTCCGCGTTTATGCGGAAGGTGGACATTGTACAGAAACTGAAAATAGACATAACAAAGATTGATACGACTACGCCATTACACCGATCCTAAACATAGCAACAGTATTTTTCTTCTTTACATTCCTATATTTCTATTCTCTGTAAACGTCCGAGGAGTCTCGTCGCGATAATAATGGAAGATATAGAAAGATATATGTATATATATATATATATATATATATATATACACATATACATAAATATACGGAGTGATCCAGACTCGCCTCCACTTCCCTTCATCTGTCGATCCTATGACCAATTTGCAATTAATTTTTCCCTAGCGAAAATTTTATCCTTTTTCACAACTTTCTAATGTTAAATATATCTAAGCCTGTAATAAAAATACCGTGAAAGTAAAATCCACTTCGAATTGATTAAGATTAAGGCTCCATCATCTCTATTGCTCGTTGAAATTCTTAGACTTTTTATCACCTTACAGTTTAAAATTTATCGCTGCCTTGACACTTTTCGTTAAGGAAAAATATTCGAAATTGATCGGAGAATCCATAGATGGGATGCGCGGGATCTGGGACATCCTGTATCGCATTGACAAATCGTAACTCTTTACCCGCAATATTGTCAGCCACAAAAAGATACAAAACGCGAAGATACGGAACGCAAAAACGTGCGGCGCATTCTTTCAGCTTGAGGAGTTTAATAAATAAAAAAAAAGAGGAGATCCAAGTTTTCTCTCAAAATTTTAAATAAACAAAGCCCTGAAAAAAATTATGTAAATCAATAAACTTAAATTGAATAATTAGCACATCTTGGAATTTTAAGTTATTCTAAAAATTTTCGAATAATAATTATAATTTCAAATAAGCTTTTTTGAAAGATATTTCGGCCGGAATAATTCTGAATCTTTTTCAAGGTATCGGAAATGAGCTATCAGAAATGAGCGACAAAATATGCAAATCGAAACGTCGATACTTTTCCTTTCGGTTTCCTTCGAGCGTAAGTCAAATGTTCAAAGTTAAGTATTTCGGATTACATCTCTCTTGCATCAAAAGGAGATCCCCGCAAAGGATCGCCGCAAACTTTTGCGTCCGATCGTCGACGAAAGCGGAGAGAACCAAGATCGGAAATTCAAGGCAGACTCCAGATCGCTAAGATAAATTTTTTAGCAGGGAGAGATCACAAAAATAAGATAAAAAAAGAAACTAAGGGGAGAAGAAAAAAAAGATATACACAACTGTTGACAATACTATGCTTGAGAATCGTATTGACACATATGTAATGTACCTAATAAATATATAAAACAAGACGAGATGTTTGTGTTTCGTAAGTAAAAGCGTACTAAAAGCGTACTAAAAGTAAACTCGTAATAGAGCGCGAGGTGACGGTGTATACTCGCGCGAAACACGTGACTTTTGCGCGGAGCACCAGCGTGATTTATTAGGTAATTACGTTTAACGTGCGAAAGAGAAGAAGCAAGCTTCGTCGTCCCACGGAAAGCGCGATTATTGTCAAGAAAATTTTTCGAGCAAAGGACAACGAAGCGAGAACGAAGGAAAGAGGGACGGAGAGAAAAAGAAAAAGAGAATGAGAGAGAGAGAGAGAGAGAGAGAGATTTCAATGACACATTGCCGCTGTGCAGGTCGCGAGCGTGCAAACTGATCCAAAGCAATTGTATCCGAGTATGAAACACGCACATTCAATACAAAGAATATCTAGAATCCAGAGTATCAAATCTTCTCATCGATAAACGTTTCGTTTCTTCACTCATGCAGACGCGTTGTTCTCCAGCGAACTGGACATGCACATAATGTATATAATGCTACACATGACACGTAAAAACACACACACACACACACACACACACACACACACACACACTTACGGGATAGCGCTTGTGTGACTCCATATTCACACGATCGAAGCTCCGATCGAACGCACGCGCCGTCGTTACGCTAATCATTTTGAAAGCGGATCATTGTCATTTAGCGTCATCATCATCGTCGCGGACGACGTTCGCCCGGTAAATACCAGTATTGTGCCACTGATCAATTCGCCCGATTCAACGGCAATTCGCTATACCGGATGGTGATGCGGTTCGGGCGCAGAAACGTGTTGCCTCTCGAAATTCTGACAATCCTGGTGACATCAATGCATAGCAAGACGCGATTCACGGAGGATGTCGGCTTTGCATCAATCGCACCGTTCAACTAGATAGTAGAGATCCATATATACAAGTATGTGATTTGCCTCCTCTTAAGGATATATCGCGCATCATTTCATTAATATCGTGCCGCACGTAGTTAGCGAATAAAAGTTGAAAAAGACGTGTAAAATCTCTCTCCTGGGTTATATAAGAAATTCTAATTCGTATACGTTGAAGAGCTCTACTCGATTCTACAAATGATTCGTTAACCCGTTCCATGTTAATAGTGAACGTGAGATCTAGTATGGTCAACATCGAGGATCGCTGTTCCGACGGTGTACTTGACGCAAATATATCGACCGCCCGCGTCACGTGTTGAACGTTAAAAAAAAAAAAAAGGCGCACTCTCAAATATATGAAATTAAAAACTCGGGCGATCGTATTTCCAGCGCCGACTGCGCCGTGAGAACACCGTTCCTATTTATTATTATTATTAACATTTATATATCCGTGCAATGAGTTCGTGCATATTTAGAGACTAAGTGTATACGGATGGAGGTGAAAGAGAAGTGTGGTATACAGTGTGATATATAAAAAGCGAGAGACGGAGGACTAAATCCGAATGGTTAATTAGATAATTGTTGGGAGATATTGTAGTCGTATGATGAAGAGAGAGGGAAGAAAAGGGATGGCCGAGAGAGGGACCTATTAGAGCTATATCATCGTTGAATCATCGCACACGCATACACACACCACGTGCCATATCATCGCATTATATATCAGAGAGAAAGAGTTTAAATACTATTAATTTTAAGCGATAGCTAGATATACAGCTCTATACATGTACGTATACATGTGCAGCGTGAGGGAAATCACGCGGGTGGAAATCCGGCACGTGTACAGCATTCGTTTGACTAACTGTGATTCGTTGCTGGTCCTTATTCGAGTAATGTGACGTTAATACACAACGTACATACGACACGACGAAGGGGCGAGTGAACGAATGGAGACGTCCGAGACGGATTAAAAGATTACACGGGTCTGTTTTTTTACAGCTGAACCAGTATACACTTGTACCTAAAACATATTTACATGAACATATTTACATATATGTTTGAAGTTTGGCGAAAGCGAGAAGGAAAATTTTAATGCAATCGATAAACAAAAAACAGCGATAAAAAAAAACAGGCTCTTTATATCATCTTGGAACACTTGGATATCAACCGGACGTCCAAAATGGATATTTGACGAATGAATAGGAATTTCAAAACGAGTTTTAAAAAACGATCGTCTCGAGGAAGAGTACAAAAGAAATGCGCGTGCCTTCCTTATTCATTCGTCTCTTCTAAAATTCTCGTATGTAAGCGGATATTGCAATATGATGCAAAATAGAATTTTTGCTGCGCCGGCTACTCGGATATCGACCGACCGATTTATTTACTCGCGATCATAATTATTTCGAGCGGAGACCTCGAGGTTTCCGATTCGGCGGAGAAGACGAGGAGAAAAAAAGAGACCGCTAGAGAAGTGCGCGCGCGCGCGCGCACGAATCTGTCATTCAATCGTCATCACCATCGTCATGATAAGCGAAGTCACACTCGCGTCGTCACGTCGACACGAAACGTCTGTTCGCCGTTACCCAACCGAAATACCCTTTGTAATCTAATTTTTTGTTCCGCATCGACAGTACACACATGCACGTGTAAGATATTATCGCATCTCGATCGTGTAATCACAGAATATATTGCACATACGATTGCACATATTATATACATATTTACAAATATGTATATATATATATATATATATAATATATATATATATATATATATATATATATATATATACATGGTCATGATCGCGATCCGTGTTGCTGTCTCATCCGCTCGAATAATTTTGACTATTTTAATCACCTTCACTCAATCCTTCCTCAAGCAATTTCGCGTAAATCCATTCTAAAACATATCTAAAACTCAGAGAAAGCGTACTTTTCCGCCCAGTTTCATAATATATTTTAAGAGTCATGCATCACGCTAATTATATTATTATACAGAGTATCTCCCAGATGAGGGCGCATTTCTTTTCAAAACTGTAAATTTTTCGATTAATCTCAAAGCGACTTTATCTTTACGAAGTATCGAGATATAGTATTACAAGGGATTGAAAATAAAGGGCTTTATAAAAATTAAAGGATAATAAGGTTCCTCGCATATTCTTTATTTTTTATAATTAATTTTAAGCGAATTTTATGTTAAATTTCAATTTAAAGCTTGCAAGAAAATAACATTATTATGATATAAATTTTTACAGAGAAAGAAACTTAAAGTTAAATAAGAAGTCCTTTGGACAAGAAACATACAATTCAGAGAAATTGCGTTTAAGAAAGATCATCTTGCGCGAATTATTATTACACACGGGCTGTTTTTGTATATATTATAAATTGTCTATATGAACTTTGCTGCAAATTCTACTTCGCTATAAATTTAAAATGAAAAAAATGGGAAAAATTCCAAGAAGAAATTCCGAGACAGCCACGGAGCGGTGACTTTCCAAAACATCCCCATTACACCTTCAAAATTATCCCTTCCAAAAATTCTGATGTCTCTCCACAGGTATTCGCCTCCATGTGTTGCCATATGTGTTATACTATACTACACCGTGTTTTTTCTGACTATCGTTCTCCTCTTTTATCTCGCGCAAATGCATACAGGTAAACGACTCGAGCAAGTAGTGGATGAGAAATATTCACACATCCCAATCTTTTTGCAAACAATTTTGCACGAGACGGGACGGTGATCAAAAAGGAACGGAATACGCGAATATCTTTTATCACTTCTCAGTTTTCATTTTTCAAAGTATCCTTTGGAGATGCAGCAGAAAAATAGAAATAGAAACAAAAGTATTTGCATATTCCGATTCTTCTTGGGATAATTGTACATAAAAAAGAAAAATATTGGTGCGAAATATTTCAAGATATGTGTTTTGTTTCCATTGCATTGATATTATTAAGAAAATTACGGAGACACAGAGCGCTAATTTCACAACCACTTAATTGCGTTGCGTTGCGTTACGTTACGTTGCGTCTCATTGTCGTAAACACCTCCGCATTGTAAATGTTTTTAAAAAGTCGCGTTGCCTATGGTAAAGGTGTTCACATCGCGAGGAGAGGATTTGTAACGGCCGTCTTTTGCTCGAACTCGAGGGACGATTCTGCCAACGTCATTCAATTCCCAGTAATGGTAAAACGATTGTTTCTTTCTTAGATCATAGTGTAATACGTAATATAATGTGCGTAATAGTGGACGTAATTTAGTTAATTATAAGTAAAGCTGATAAGTCAGGGTTGGTTGAATCGATCCGAAAATATGAGGGCGGATTTGTTTAAATGCCCAGGCGATTGGCGGCCGCTATCGTGCCCTCCAGCGAATCTGTAAAGTATCGAAGTATGATTTGATGCGAACGTCCTAAGAGTAAAGAAGAACGAGTCACACGTTCGATATGACGATTCTTAAGTTTCGCGTATTTTCTCTCCCACATTCCGTTCGCACATTTCTCTCGTTCCTCGTTTTGCGATCAATGTACCATATCCGAAGGGTGCTCTTAAAGCGAAACGAAAAGTGAAAGTTTGCGATGTATTAAGACAGTGCGTACCGTTAAGCGAGAGGTAGAAAGGATGGCTTTCTTATTGGGATAAGCTGCCTCAGGGGAAGGTAATCCAGGGACTCTAATAAACTTATCCGAAACTACTTGCCTATGAAATTATTCCATTTGTCGCCGGGGCCGTGTCCGTGACCCTCCTTTATTCCATCCTTTGTATATTTTTCATGTAAAGTGACCAGATTATTATTAAATTAAATTGAAATTTGAAAGCTGAAATATTTTAAAATGCCACAATCTGTTTCCCTATATTAAAATATTAAGATAATACAAAACATATAAAACATACATGTATTTTTTCATTAAACAATTAGAATTGTCTCATCAAAGGAAATTATTTCTTGATTTTGTTGCTATCAATAAAAATTGAAAATTTTAATAACGCAATAATTGACATAACTTTTTAAATAAAAACATTAAAATATAAAGACATCTATTAAAATAACATGTGCTATTTTAAATTAGGGAGTTGTCATGGAAAATTAATTTATTGAATAAGATCAAGTATATAAAAAGAAATTCATGTAAAAGTTACATGAAATTATTGAACTTTATTCTAAGAAAATTTAGTGCTGCTTTACAAGAATTTTTTCATATTGTATCTTATTAGTTCGTTTTATTTACTAAAATACTTGTCACATTTCTTGTTAACATTCAGATAACAAGTTCTTGACAGCAGCAAGTTTTTTAATAAAATTTTTTTATTACGTATTTTATGTCAGTTTTAATTGCAAATATATTTTATAATTTGTTGTATAA